AATTTTTTTAATGAATGAGAGAAAACGCTCTAAAGATGATACGAGAAAATGATTTCGCATTTATACTTGATAGAAAACCGAGAATTTGTGGTCAAAAGTCACAAAATGAAAAACAACTTCTGCACATCAAACGATGCACTGTATTCAATTTTCGTCTTATCTAAAAGATACATATATAAAGCACCGTATTTTATTGCGCGTCTTTTCATGAATTCTCTTACAAATTTTCTTAAAGTCGAATTTTTCTTTAAAAAAAAAAAGATTAAAAAAATCTATAATTTATATGAATAATAATAAACGCGATAAAGGACAAGATGAACTGTTTGAAATTCAAGCTTTTAATGTGTAAATGTGCGAATAGCAAAATCTTTTTCGATTAATTTGAATTAAACCCGAAAAAATAGCTGAAGATTAATTCTTATTATTGAAAAATGGATTTCGAATTGGTCGGAAAAGTTTCTAATCGTATTATTTACAGTAATAATTAGCGTATATAGATTTTTCTCTTACGTCACTTATATTTCAATTTAACATTCTGTGCATTATATCCAAAGAGATGATGACAAAGTAATATGCTGCAGGACCAGATTGACTCTCGCCGAATTCATTGGAAAGCTAATTTCGTATTTGTTAGCTTGCTGCGTTCGCTTCAATGCATTCGCATTTCGATATCACGTGAAATATTTATTAGCGCGATTTACCTTGTTTACTCCTACATTTTGTTATGCAGGCAACGGACAGAATAATTCACGTTTGCTTTAACGTCTTCTTGTTTAGTTATATACGTTGTGGAAATTTCATAAGAAAAGAACATATCAGTTTTAAAACACGTAAACTTGTTTTATATTATAAATTGGCAATTTAAATAATAGTCTGAAATTTTGATCGAATTTATTTATCCGTCATATTTCATTTCATATATCAATTACATTCACTCATTACTGTGTTTACACTGTTGGGTATCGAAGTAGCATTGACAATCTAATCTCTTGGGAGTTAAATAACATTTCATTTTTAACTTCTATGTATGTCAAAATGTATAGTAAATTAATCAATTTCCACAGTTAGTTTCAAAGTAAACAACATTCATATTAACGTGTGTACTTAATAAATAATAAACTTGAGTAGTATTAGTTGGGACCTATAAAAAATGATTAAAAATAACTTAAACTGTATAGCTACAATACATTTTGACACTACATATACAATTTAACAGTACATATCCGAGATTTTAACCGCATGATTGATACACACGTTCTACCATAAGCCCTTACTTAATCTTCAAGTCTTAAGCCGTTAGAATTGATTGATCAGTCGAATGTGAGACGAATAATCGACTATGATCGAGTTAATTGGTTCACGGTTTAAGACTTAAAGCTTAGATAATGGCTTATGACGTCGAAAGCCCAATGTGTCTTGAGAACTTTATGACGTTTCAAGGCACGTCGACGTCGCGACAGTAACTTGTTATCCAGGCGACGCTTCTCAACGATGTCGACAAGTCGCGTTGTCGCTTATCGTTGTCGCTAACGACGATCAGCAATGCTAGGATGATACACTTACAAAACAAAGCTCGCGCGCGCGCTTCGTGGTCGATAATTCCTTATTATCAGCGCGCGATGCGCGGACGTTCCTTCGAGATAATCGCGGCGTCAACAATGAGGTCGCGTATGAGCCAAACTGGAGCTCAACTCCATTTCTGTAAATTTCATAATTTTACCATCCACAGAGCACGCAGTTAATCATTTTGTCAATGTCCCTTTTTTATTTCATCGAACCAGCCAATTTGGATTTTCAGAGGATTATCTATTTTCACCCCTGGTGAAATTCTCGCGCTATCGTTTATCGATAATCGTAAAGAATTCGCGTATTATTCTATTACATTTTTTGGTCATTCTTCAGTTTTCTTCTCGTAGATTCTTTGCTTTGCAACGATATACATGGTCGCTGG